TAAGTTAGGACTTATATACATATGTTGCGGTTGAACGTGTTTTTGACACTGTCGTTCATTAATGACGCGAACACCATCCGTATTGCCGCGTATACAACATTCATTCTTCCCATTTCCTCAAAGCTGGAGAAACGTTTAATACTTGGAAGCGTTCTGCACAAGTAAGTATGTATGTAAGTAAGTAAGTACTTACTCTTAGTGCTCGTAGGAAATGGCAAAGAAAAGAGGAGTGAGGAAGAAGAAGTAAAGTGAAAGAGAGAGAGAGAGAGAGAGAGAGAGAGAGAGAGAGAGAGAGAAAAAAAGAAAAAGGGAAAGAGAAAGAGAGATGCCCTTTGTACTCGGTAACTCCATAAAATGGTGCCTAGCTGCGCGTTTCAAGCGCTCTCTCTCTCTCCCCCTCCCCACTACGCCCCACATCCCTTCTTCCCTTTCATCCGTGCTGGACCAAGTGTCTGCGAAAAAGCTCGTTAACCGCGGAAAAATGCAGTTTAGCGAATTCCACGTTGAGAAAATCGTTTTCGGCCTCATCGAAAGTGTTAAACGTTATGTTCTCTCGTAATTTTTTTTCTTTCCTCTCTTTTTTTTTTTTTTCTTCTACTCTCTGTTCTCTCCTCCTTTTCTTACTGTTCTTTTTCTTTATTTATTGCTTTTATTTTCTTTCTTTTGTTTTCGTTTTTTCTCATTAATTTCTCTATTTCTCATTTTTACGGAACAAAAACTGTCTTTCTTTTTCTACTTTAAGAAATGATACAGGATGATACAAAGGGAATGAAGAGAAGAAGGAAGAGAAAAAGGATTTTCCGAAAGGGGTCAGAGTGTTTCTGTGTGTTTGTGTATATATATATATGTATGTGTGTGTGTGTGTGTGTGTGTGTGTGTCGTCTTGTAACGATAGTCGTCGCTCGTCGCATTAGAATTATTTATGCGGCTTCCTGAATATCCAACGGCGTACGCATGTTCGCGCGGTAGGAAAGTGCAACGTGCTGCATATATGAAATATTCATAAAATAATATATTTCGAAGTTGCTCAACGTTTTCTTTTTTTTAAATTAAAAAAGAAGTGTGTGTGTGTATATGAGTGAGAGAGAGAGAGAGAGAGAGAGAGAGAGAGAGAGAGAGAAAGACAGGGAGTGAAAAAAGAAAAAAAAAACATTTTCATGTTCCGTTTTATTCAACACATATATATATATATATATTTCGTATTATTATTATTGTTATTATTATCATTGTTATTATTATTATTATCATCGTAGTCGTTGTTTTTGACCTCTCACATTGCCGATAATAATTGCGATAGTCCGTTCTCCGGTTTATTTGCAATTTCATTCTGCGCATTTTCAAAGGAACTAACGATATTCGTCTTCTATTATATTTTCTTTCTCTTCTTCCTTTTTCTTTTTCTCTTTTCCTTTTTTTTTTTCTTTTTTCTTTTTTCTTCTCCCTTTTTATTTCCTTTTATGATCTCCTCGTCTCATTCCCCTTTTGTGCTTCGCGGTTCGTAACATTTTTCCTGAGTAAAATCTACCGCCACGGTAGTTATGTTCGTATGTATCTACCAACCTACCTACCTACCAACCTACCTACCTACCTACCTATCTATCTATCTATCTATCTACCTACCTACCTACCTAGCTAGCTACCTTTCTTTACGAGATCGTCCTTTTCCGGCTCGCGTTTTCTTCTCAAAGCACGGAAACGACGAATCTGGTCCACGATCTAGCGTGGAGTATGCATTCCATACACGCGTCTGTACATGCCTTCGTATATACTATATATAGATTTGGAGCATAGAGAAGGGACGTAGCATAGACGAAGAGATATAGAGAGGAGAGAAAAGAAGAAAGAAAAAGAGAGAGAGAGAGAGAGAGAGAGAGAGAGAGAGAGAGAGAGAGAGAGAGAGAGACGGAAACGCAGAAGCGAGCATGCCCTTTCTTCGCTTTTATACTCCAACGGTACATCCCTGGAATCTCATGTATATACTTACATACATAGATACATACATATATAAATATATATATATATATATATATATATATATATATATGTGTGGTGTCAAAGATTACTAAGAAATCTTTCGTTATCGTTCGATAAAGTAAATTGATCTGGATCGATGTTTCAATGATCGCAAAAAAAAAAGTATCTCGTTCTTATCGTTTACTATAGCATTACTAATAAATTAATAATATATTATTAGATTATATTACGATATAATTCGTTATTATGAATTTAATTATATAGATTTAATTTCTATATAACGATTATAATAATTAATTTTATTCGAACGTATTATATTGCGAAAATATATCCTGCATCCTTTAATCTTTTTATTTCTTATATTTATTTATTATTCGATTTACTTTTTACGACGAGTAACGAGAGATCACACGTTTTACGAGATTTTATCGTCGTCGTTGAGAACGAACTTAACGATTTAGAAGTTCGTTCGTATTTCTAGATAGTAATAAATTATATCGCACGTTAGAAATTATCGTGGATGGAGGGTGTTGTTGGGATGAGGTGGGGGTGAAGTGTAGCGAGAAAGGAGGAGGAGGAGGAGTAGGAGGATGAGGTAAAGGAAAATAATGCCAGTTAGTTTTGGCCCGAGAAGAGTAGATTCGAAAAACGAGGCAATACTTCAACTAAATGCATTTCGCATGTACTTACTCTAATTACTATTAAAAGTTATCCAAGGATAATTAAGAATCTTCGAGATTGTTTTCTTATTTCTGGGGGGTTTTTTTTTTCTTTTGTTCTGTTTTGTTTTATATATTACTTTTTTCTTCCCTTTTTTCTACTGTAGATTACTTAAGACCTTTTCAAGAAGGAAGAACTCTGGCTTTCATACGTTTTTACGTCCTCGTAATTAATACTGCGAACGAGGCGTAAATTAACGTATGCCAACGTCGAATATCGAAACACATACTACTATTATTACTACCACTATTACTACTACTATTACTACTACTACTACTACTACTACTACTACTACTATTACGTTTCTCATTTTCGTCCTCATTTTTCCTCTGTCATTCGTTTCAACATTCGCACACCGAACACGACATCTGTCCAATATATCTGCGGGAATGATCTTTCGAATGTATTCTCGTTTCTCTTTCCATGTTCGTGATTCTCGTTCTCTCTCTATCTCTATCTCTATCTCTATCTCTATCTCTATCTCTATCTCTATCTCTCTCTTTTTCTATCTTTTTCGAATATGTGCGATGCGCACGAGTTTGCCGTTTGGATTATAATCCTAGTGGGGGGAGGGGGATAAAAAAAAGGAAAGAAAAAAAATGAGAACATTACCACCTGATACGAAGACACATACGTGACACGGATGCCATGACTTAAATCATAGTCGAGATTGATTAAGTCAAAGAGAAAGAAAGAGAGAGAGAGAGAAAAGAAAAAAAAGATTTCTTTATCCTTTCCTTTTTATTGCTTTCTTTCTTTCTTTTTTTTTTTTTTTATTTTTTTTTTTTTTTCTTATATTTTTTTTTTTTTTCTATTTTTTTCAACTCCATGTCAACAACAAGCCGTTTAATTATTGTATAATCTTCTTACGTAAATTATACGCATTCAACGAGAACTCGCAAATGTTCGATGAAAATATTCGTAAGAGTGCCGTACGTACACAAACATGTATATGTATATATATATATATATATATGTATATACATATGTGTACGTATATATGTATGTATACACGTGTATATGTATCTATTGTACATTATCATATATATCCACTCGAAGCTTCGATTAACGACGATCATTAACATGCTTTCGCGTTAAACGTTCCGAACAGGTGCGAGGCTTGAATTTATCACTGTATATCGTTGTGCGGACAATAAATGTGAATTTAATAATATTACCGTGTCATTCTCAGTGAGATTTCCCGGAAGGCATAAATTTTATCGAATACATATTATCCCCGATGAATTATATTAAATAATGTATATATATATATATTTATTTATATATATATATATATATATATATATATATATATAATGCGTTCATAGATATTGTTATTACGAGTGGATTCGTTATATTACGAATAACATTTTAGGGATCAAGAGCATTTCGAATATAACGCGTCGCAGGTAATTATACTTCGGAGTTTAACATTTTGAAATAGCATAATAAATCAAGCAAGACTGACTACGAGCCTTTCCAAATACATATATTTCGCATTTACCTTGTTATTTTCTGTTATATAAATAAAACGATAATCCATTTTTGTCGAATGATACAACGAACTTGATTAAGGGAATACGAAAGAGAAAAATCTTTGATGCATCAACGATTTGGTCATCAACTATTTTACTTTCTTACCAATTGAGTAGAGTTAAAAAAGCAAAAAAAAAAAAAAAAAAAGAAAAGAAAAAAAAATCACCAGAAATGATCCTATACGATTGGCTGAGTTTAATGAATGTTTTTTCTTCGTCAAAAATATATCTGATTCATTCTTCGTTGTTTCTTGTTTTTACGTTTTCTTGTTTTTTTTTTTTTTTTTTTTTTTTTTTTTTTTTTTTTTTTTTTTTTTTTTTTTTTTTTTTTTTTTTTTTTTTCAAAATAGATTTTCGACATTGGTGAAATTCAAAACAAAGAGAGATAGAGAGAGAGAGAAATTGAGCAAGAGTTTAACTTAGTACTTTATACTTAGGTACAAAAACGAAACCCAGGGCTTTAAGTATAAAATTATCGAGTCAATGTCGAAACGAAATTCTAATTCTGGAATACGGATGTTGGCTCGTATCTTCTTTCGGTGTCTTTCTTTTTTAGTATACAACGTCGTAACAAGCCAATTGGACCATGTCGACGTATAGATACACTCTTCTACCTAACCAAAGACTTGTTCTCGGTTAAATGCGAGTTTCGTTTTTTCGTACTTAGAAGATACATACATACATACATACATAATACATACATGCATACATACACACATACATACATACATACACACACACACAGTTTCTCTCACACATATATATATATATTGTATACATTGAACGTGAATTAAGTTTGTATAAAAACTATTCACGTAGGTGTAGTTACCTACACTGAATTAGATTTAAGTACCTACCTACTACCTACCTATCTACCTACCTACCTTCCTGTTTAGCTGCCTATCTACCTACCTACCTGCCTGCCTAGGAGCTCCGTTACATAGCGTCTCGTGTTCGTTCGACGACTAGAGTTAGTACTTCCATTATATTTCTCTTCCTTGTCTTTTGTCGTGCGTCGACCACTGAAAATGAAATCAAGTCTCAACGAGCCTCTCGTTAAAAGTGACCGAACTCGACTTTGTCCAGATCCATTTGTACGTCTAGTAACTCTGTGTACGTAATATATATATATACATATATATATATACATATATATATACATATATATATATACATATATATATATATATATATCTGTGTGTGTATGTATACGTTTGCTTTAGATCGTTCGTGTAAACCCAATTCGTTCGTCTTTCACGAATTGTACTCACGAACGAACGACATAACTAGCATCCGTGAAATTTACTAACGACGTCATTAGCTCGCTCTAGTGTCATCGCGATTTGATTCTTGATTTCTGTATATGTGTATATATATGTGTGTGCATACGTGCGTATTTACGTGCCTTTTCTCTCTCTCTCTCTCTCTCTCTCTCTCTCTCTCTCTCTCTCTCTCTATCTCTATCTCTATCTCTTTCTATTCTTGTTTTCGTAAACCTCCCTTTTATGGATCACATCAATTTGTGAACCGTAATACGTTTCGCGAGCTACACACTCACTCGTCCTTGAAATTTTCCGAATCATTTACTTCGTTCCCTCGAAAGTTACATAGGTATATATATATACCTACTATCTCGTTTCTCTCTTCCTTTCTCTCTCTTTCTTTCTCTCTCTCTCTCTCTCTCGAATCGTTCTCATCTGCCTTAATGTTTCTTTATCGTAGGCGCGCGTTAGCCGGAAGCTTTTCCGAGTTTCCATCAGGATGTGCGTTCCCTTCCTTCTGTTTTTTCTTCCCTCTTCGTTTTTTGTTTGTTCCTTTTTCTTTTTTTTTTTTTTTTCCTTTTTTTCGTTTCTTTTCTTCTTTTTGAACATAGAAAGAGGATCTTGGGTAAAGAGCGTTAATAAAGAGAGCGTTGATAGAATTCTCTTTCTCCCTTCTCTCTCTCTCTCTCTCTCTCTCTCTCTTCCTCTCTCTTTCTCTCTTTTTCTCTTTCTCGTTTTCTTCATCTTTTTCTCTGTGCGAACAGAGAATCGAGAATGCTCGTCGTTCTATATATCCACTTCTCTAATCCAGTTCTTCTTCAACGGAAAGAATGTCGAAGCACGCACAGACTGCAGGACAAGATGAGGGAGAGAGAAAGAGAGAAGGAGAAAGAAAGAGAGAGAGAGAGAGAGAGAGAGAGAAAGAAAGAGAAAGAAAGAGATACGAAGCTGGTCGGCTTCCAGTCTTCGTCCGTCATTCCCTCGAGGTCGTTAACTGTGGTCAAAGCGAAGGCGGAGGATGCGCGAAATAAGCGTCTTTCTCGTTCTTGGTGTTCTCTTTCACGTCCTATTGTCTTCGAGAACGTAGTCTACATGGTGCAAATAAAGTACTCGAGGTACTTAACGCGTACTTAGACAGATTAACGGAAGCATTGTCATCGTCCTTTTCTCTCTCTCTCTCTCTCTCTCTCTCTCTCTCTCTCTCTTTCTTTTTCATACATATGACGAAGACGACATTTTGATTTTCGACTTTCAAGATTCGATGACTTTTAAGAGAGAAAAAAAAAATGGAGATGGAAAATTTCGGCTATCTCTCTATCTCTCTCTCTTTCCTCCCCCAACCCACCCTCACCTCTCTCTCTCTCTCTCTCTCTCTCTCTCTCTCTCTCTTTCTTTCTTTGGTTTGAAATAGGGCAGCTATACGTACGCAGAAAAGGATTCGCTGATGCAGCTGAAGCGAAAATCTTTGCTCGTCGTTTTATACGACGAACGAGGAACGAAACGAACGGGAGTAGCGGACGTCGGAGAGACGACTTTTCCCGTCCACCTCGTCAGACCGCACGAACCCTCTGCATTTTCTCTTTGTCCTTACTCATCGCTCTATCCGTCCTCAACGGCCTCCCTCCTTTCCTTCCTTACTCGTCCCCCTCTCTTCCTACCTACCTACCTACCTATCTACCTTCTCTTCTCTTCCCTTCTCTCTCTCTCTCTCTCTCTCTCTATCTCTCTCTCTCTCTCTCTGTCTTCGTATCTTTACCTCACCAAACTACCTTCACATTGTCGTGTGCGTTCGCACACACCGACGAGTTGGCGTCTTCTGCTTCGACGCTATCCAACAGCGCTGATGAAGCGTCTGGCCGTCAATTAGACGTAATTCGGGGTGCAATTAGCGGAACCGCTATCGACCCACCAGGTTTCTCTTCCTTCCCTCCTTCTCTTCTCTCTCCAATCTCTCTTACTCTCTCTCTCTCTCTCTCTCTCTCTCTCTGTAATTCTCTTTCTCCGCGTTATTCTACCATCTTCTTCGGCGTCAGATTCGACATTTGACTCTCATCGACTCCTAAATGTTTTCTCTATGCTCGATTGGAGTTCAATGTAGACGAGAGCCAAGCCTCGAAGAGCAATTTCCCTTTCAAAGTACACTTTAGCTCGAAATTTTCTTTGATGATACCTGTTTCTCTCTTTTTCTATCTTACCAATCATCCATCCATCCAACCATCCATCCATCAATCAATCAATCAATCAATCAATCCATCCATCCATATCTTTATCATTATTGGCTTTTTCCTTTTCTTTTCTTTCCTTTTTCTTTTTTTCTTCTTCCTCTTTTTCTTCTACCTCTTCCTTCTTCTGCTTTTACATTCTTCCATCCCGATGCATTTCTTCTTTTCGTTCGCCATTTTTCCAAGGGAAAATCGTCTTCTTCCCTTTTTCTTTTTCCAACGAAAAACGATAAAATAAGGTGGTGACATAGCACGGCACGGTATGGCATGGCATAGAATGGCACGGAACAGTCATGGCACGCGGGCTCCATCTTCGAGATCAAAACGTTCAATATTTCCTTCGTATAAGGCATTTATTCGTAAGAATTTCCGAAAGAGCATTGTCTGTGAGAATAATTCACGCGCGGCTGAAGAATCGACGGCGCGTGTGGGGATATATTCGTCGAGGCTTCTCTCTCTCTCTCTCTTTCTCTCTCTCTTTCTCTCTATCTCTCTATCTCTCTATCTCTATCTGTCTCGTAGTTTTCTAAGATATTGCCAAGTATGTGCAACGGCTGGCAACAAAACCTTTTCGAAGATTTCGCCTTGATGTTCGAAGACGATATTAGATTCGTGTACCTTAGAAGTCGATATAACTATGACAACCGCTATTGTCGTTTTACGAGGACGATCGCATTGAAAAACATTTCGTACGTTCGATTTCATTTTCTAAAGGGTTTTGCTTTTTTTCCCCTTTTTTCTTTTTTTTTTTTTTTTTTTTTTTTTCGTTGAATCCGTATACAGTAGTGACCTGTCAGCGAGGGGGTGAGATGAAGTAGAATAGGGTATAGGAGTAGGGATAGTCTGAAGAGAGAAGGTTGAGGACGTTATATGGAAAAACGTTTGAAAATTATCGATATCCAACGTAGAATCGTTTAGCGTGTTATACTAAAGTCCCATCGGCTGGAAGATACGATAGTAAGCATCTTTCGAGCATAAAAGGGGTATAATATCCCGTTTGATATTATTGAAAGGGGAAGGAAGAGAGGAGGGGCGAACGATCGCCGATTCTGAGACAGGCCTGGGTAATCGTGTTAAACCTCTGGAGACTTAAAAGATGGGAGCTTTCGATTTTTCGTTTCTTTTTTTTTTCTTCTTCTTTTTCTTATTTTCTTTTTTCTTTTTTTTTTATTTATTTTTTTTTTTTTTTTTTTATTTTTTATTATTTTCGTTTAGAGAAGAATATCCCTTTTCACGATCAAAGATTAGACTTCCGATGCGGCGCGAAGAATTTAGCGCGGTTAAGGGAAGTATGAAAGACACGTTGGGGGGAGGGGAGACAAAAAAGGAAAGAAAAAAAAAAAAGAAAAAAGAAGGGAACGTGCGATACAGTAACATCTGTCTTCTCTGAATGAGAAAAGGGTGACTTTTTCCTCCCAAGAGAGAAAAAAAAAATAAAAAAAGAAAAAGAGAAAAGAAAAAAATTTCCCAATAGGAAAATCCCATGAATCTTATTATTATCCATTATTATATTCTCTAAGAACTACGTATGCATGTGTACATCTGTGCGAGAGGACAGGAGGGGTTGGAGAATGGGAAGAGGTTTATTCGATGAAATAAAAGCTTAATACATAGGAACCAACCATAAGGTTTATACGTTATTTCTATTAAGTCTATTTGCGCGAGTGCGTAAATATGTGTTTTTCGTAATATCGTACGTGTACGCGAATATTACTCCCATTGTAGTTGGAATAGTTGTTAATCATCCGACGTTTATGAGATTCTAAGTCGTTCGTATAAGATAACTGTGGCAGCATAAGTCACGTTCCAAGGCTTAAAACCAAATTAGAATGTATGCACCAAGCTGTAGTCGGCAATTCTGTATAGTTATTGTTAACCAAGATGTACTTACTTACTTACTTACTTACTTACTTACTTACTTACTTACTTACTTAGTTACTTAGTTACTTGCTTAGCACGACAGCTAAGGGATGAAACATTTTATGTACATTAAGTGAGAATCATTATTGGATTTCACGCTTGCATGACCACGAGCAATCCGATTTATTTATTTTCCATATCCATTCGGTATATGGTTATATATACCCAAGAGAATGCGATAAGCACTTTGTAATCTAAAATCAACTTGATATCTTTCCTTTTCTATTTTTATTTATTTATTTATTTATTTATTATTACTATCATGATTTTCTCTCCTCTTTTCTTTCTCTTTATTTATCTTTTTCCTTCTTCTTCTCCTTCTTCCTTCACTTCCCTCTTCTTTCTTTCTTTCTTTCTTTTCTATCTATCTTTATTTATTTATTTATTTATTTACTTGTATCCTTTCTTCCTTCCTTTCTTTTCTTTTCTTTCTTTCTTTATTTATTTCTCTTTCCCACGAGCGTTATAATTGGTGATACAACCTCATTTCTCTCGATCAGTTTATATCTCTCTCAAACGAGACCGGACGCGAGCTGTCGAAGAATCGATATAAACTCGTCAATTTTTTATATATACATACATACATACATACATACATACATACATATATAATGTTAGAGAGAAAGAGAAAGAGAGAGAGGTATGAAAAATTATCGCGTTGCTTTATCAACGAATTGATCGATCGATTCA